CAGGAATAACGAGCGGCGAGGCCGTTCAGCTGACGCACGCGATCGATAACACGTCTGGTCAACTCAAAGTCGCACTCTGCGATATCACCTACCTACCGCGATGGACTAACATCAACGCCAGCAACAATTAGCTGTTCGTCAGTGGAGCTCGCAGCCAGATAACTGACGGCTACTACAGCGTGTGCTCTCTAAGCGACGAGGTCTTCAAACCCCTGGGACCCGAACTCAAGATGAACGACTCAAACGGCACAGTGGTGTTAATCAACAACGGAAGAAACTCCTTGAGGCTCGGTTGACCATTGGCGAGGACACTCGGTATGCCGCCTGACGAGATAAAACCAACAACTACCGTCACAGGCACGAAGTTACCCGACCTAGTACCGTACCGAGAGCTGTGCATTCATCTTGGCCAGGTGAGCACAACGGACAACAATGAAGGTGGGCACCCTTCCACGATACTGAGAGCAGTACCGGTGAAAACGGAAAAATACAACGACGGCAGAACCGAGTCGTTTTCACCGCGGCAGTATAAGAGGTTGACTCAGGGCAACATCCCTGAACTGATAATATCGGTGTTAGATATAAATCATAATCCCGTGAATATAGGATACCTCAGCATAACGCTGCACATAAAATGACCAGCGCACAAGGCCCCGGAATGAAGTTGAAAAAATGCATCAATGTGGGGATCTCCGACCTCGGGGATACACGCGGATTCGACGACCCCGGAGTAGATGGTAAATTGTACACCTTGCAATTAAAAAACAACATTTACAAACGCGTTGAAGTCCCCTCCGGTGGAGCCCTAGGTGATATAGTAGATACCTCAAGAGCGGTCGTCAACACTCGGTACACCTTAGTCAACACCGGTGATGATAAATGGATAATATACCCATCCTTCTGGGGCAAACTGTTCGACTTAGACGATGTTGAGAGCACTACCGTCGCCCAAAACAAACCATGTACGCTCGTCTTCACCGAAGATGACAAGTGGGTGTTGTTACCCGCTAAAGGCGACTGGTTTCTCAATATTAGGCTCTGCTCCCCCTACGTGTTCACGGATAACAAAGACAACTACCTAAACAAAGTCGTGAACAACGGAACCCTGCTCGTGGCTTACCTCCCGGCTCAGAGGCGTAGCGTAATCATCAGCCCAGTCACCAGTATGGGTATGCTATCGGGTAAACCGGGAGTGCAAGACGTGACATTGCAGTTGGTGTCTGAATTTGCTGGCGTGGCCAACATCCTGACGAGCCTACCGGGTAACGCCACTCTGATCATCAAAGTCTACCTAGGGGAACCATCGCGGGATGATGTCGAAATCGTGAAGGGGATCAAACTCGGGTGGGTGAAACGACACCAGTATCACGTTTGCACCGTTTATGTGCGGGTGGGTGTCGACTCCAAAACCAGTCTGCAGGGAGTCACAGTGATCGTGGAAGACACGATATCACTAACCAAGATCTTCCTACTCGACAACATACACTTCATTGGGGTGAAGTGCACCCCTGAACTATTATCAGAAAACCAGTTGGAAACTATATCGTAATAGTATTATAGCAATGACCAGTCATCACCCCAACGCTACGCTTAACGACCTAGGGGACACGTAGGGATTCGATTCTCCCATCCAGGTCAACGCCGCGTACACCCTGTACTATGACGGCTACGTGTATAGGCCGATGCCTATGGTAGACATAAAGGAACCCAAATGGTTGGTCAACGTGACCCTCACCGCACCTTACATCTCTTTAAATGAACGTGGATATGTCACCGAAATAAGGAACAACGGCTTCATGCTCACGTCTTTCATTCCAAGTTATGATAGGGTGATAGTTTCTCGAGTACATGGGGGGAAAGGCAACAAGTTAGTTTCATCCGTGGAGTCAGAGCTAAGGGCCGACTCCCCCGATACCATGACTATGGAACCAGGCTCCACACTCATCATAGACATCTCGCTTAATCCCAGTATTGATCCCAATATTAATAATTTAAGCCTGCAACTTTTACCCGGGGTGATACTACATCGACACAAGCGTTTCGCACCACTGTGTTGCTGCATCGTCATACGATTAACCCGCCAACGGACATTGATGAGACCCTTAATAGGAGGGGGGATGGATGTTAGCAGAGACCAGATGGCACCTATTGACATTTCCCGTATCTTCCTAAACAGGAATCTAAACCTTTTAGGCCTCAAGTACATTGATCAGCTATTAACTGAAGCTCAATTAAAAAATATTTCACCAAATATATTATAGGCACACAGAATGGGTCTGTACCCAGTCGTAGAGGAATTAGCGAAGACCCTGGAAACCGTAGACGGGTTCCGCTTGAGACAGTTATGTGATGTAAAACGCCAACTAGAACAAGACCGCGACACGCTGAAAGCACTATGTAAGAAGTACCATAGAGCTTTCAATATCGTGGATGGGGCTGATACTGCCCTTATGACAACCAGCATGGGGCTAGGGGCGGCAGGTGTTGGGTTGTTAGCTACCATCGTGGCTACACCCGTAGTGCTAGGCATCGAAATAACAGCTGGGGTGGCAGGGTTGTTATGGTTGGTGCTTAAGTTTGCATCACGCAGACTGCATCGTAAGGCATTGAAACACAACGAGATCAGGGTTCTGGCCGAAGCAAAGCTGAACACGGTAAGTGAGCGTATTTCCACGGCACTCACTGACAGTAAGATCTCAGAGGAGGAGTTTCGTTCAATCCTCTCTGAACTCACAAAATATAACAAAATGAAACAAGATATTCGATCCAAGTCTCGTAAGTCTGCTATCAGCGAGGACGAGAAAAAAAATACATAGAACAGGGAGTACGAAAAGCCCAGCAAGCCTTTATTACGAACACCAAAGAGATCATAGGCGATTCACATTAAACTGTTTCATCGAGGCCAACGTGACATAGCGGCACAATAGTGTCATAGCGGCACGTGGAGCTATTATAGACGCAGCCCAGCTTTGGATGATGCAATCTCAGGATGGACCCGTTAAACCGAGATACGTCAGCTAAGTCCCAGGTAGCTCAGTCGGTTGAGTGGTGGGGCTGTGAGGTATACATGCGAGGGTTCGTATCCTGCTGGTGTCTGAACTTTTTATAGGTCGGGAAAAAGTAGTAGGGGTAATGGGGCGAGATCTAAGAGCCTGACAAAAGCCTTATTTGTGAAATAAGGCTTTGCAGAGGCTTTTGTTGGACTTGACTTCGTACCCCCATTATATATACTACTCGTTGGAACCCAGAAAACTTTAAGATCTTGGGGATAATTTTCTCGAATGATATTAACAAGATGATTAAGCTAAATTATGAAAGTAAGCTATATGAAATTGAAGAAATTATTTAACGATGGATGAAGAGAACTACAACCCCTATAGGTAAAATTGCTATTATCAAGTCACTGCTCATTTCCAAATTAAATTTCCTTTTCCTTACTCTGCCCAATCCACCTGGTGTGTTTTTAAAAAAAATTAAATAGTATGTTATTTGGTTTTCTCTGGGATAACAAACCTGACAAAATTAAACGAACAGTAGTTTGTAGACCAATTGTTGAGGGTGGGCTGGGCATGATCGACATATATGCCTATGTCGATGCCCTGAAAGTAACATGGATTAGAAAAGTAATACAACCAAACTACGATAGAAAGTGGAAACACCTGCTGATAGAAACACTTCCACAAAAATTCAAACCTTACACTGTTTGGTAGCGACTTTCCACACAAGCTTTCAAAATCTGTACAGACTATTTTCTGGAAAGATACTCTGAATGCTTTTGCTAATTATAGCTATACAAATAAACCAAATACCTATGAAGATTTTCGTAGGGAACCCCTTTTTGTATTACTATTGCATAAAATCCATTTGCATACACGAATATTATCATTACGTGAAATCCCTAGAAAGTTTTTGCTTTCTCACTTAAACTAATACGATACTCATTCAAATACAACATGGACGCATCACACAAATACACATAAGTACATACCACATACACACAAACTCATATAAAGATGAATATATTGCTTTATCGCCATATCGCAGTATCGCTGTTTCGCCATGTCGCTTAACCATTTCGCATTATCGCAATTTCGCTTTATCGCAGTATTGCTGTAACAACATATCGTTATGTCGCACTATCGCCTGTTTATATCGCATTATCGCCGTATCGCTATATCGCAATATCGCTGTTTCGCCATTTCGTGTCGTGTTATCGTCATTTCGTGTCGTGTTATCGCCATTTCGTGTCGTGTTATCGCCATTTCGTGTCGTGTTATCGCAATATCGTGTCTTGCTATCGCCATATCGTGTCTTGCTATCGTCATATCGTGTCGTGTTATCGCTATTTCGTTTTGGGGCTGTATCGCAATATCGCTATATCGTGTGGCCATATCGCAAAATCGTGTCGTGCTATTGCTTTGTCGCAATATCGCCTAGATTTTTCAGGGCGATAAAGCGATGGCCCGAATGAGCCACCATAGTATGAGCCACCATATTTCCCAGTGGATTGAACAAAACTGCTCACACACAGGTATTATTAATTTCCAGGTTGATCTGATCCTTTTTGGTTGTAAATCAACTTTCCAAATTGATGACATTTATCATCTCATTCTGGTGACATTTTGCAATCTTTGCACAGAGTGTGGTCATTGAGGTAATCATGGGTATCTCGAACCCATCACAGCTTGTGTACCAATGTATCTCATACTGTTGTACACTTTTTGAGTCCATGTATTCAACAGCAAAAAAAAAAAAAAAAATATCATGAGAACTGTACCGATATAATATGTCAAGGTCACATTGAAAGCGTCAATTTCCCTATATAGGTTAGACCTAGTGAGTCAATGTGACCGAAGTGAGTTAATTGGCTGGTCTTCCCAGATGCCGGAGGTTGACTGGGTTTGGATTGTTGCCTGAGTGATACAAACACATTTGAACACCTGTTCTCATTCTACGCCGACACCTGTGTATATGGTTATAGCATGGCATTATTTCTTCAGCGTCAACAAACTAACATGCAACATGTCAAAGGAGTGTTCCAAGCTACGGTGTTGGGTCAAACAACTGATTATTACAACAACCAGTAAGTTAATGTTCCTTCTCTTACTCTGCATTCAAATTACCGATGTTTTCCAATGTTAAATATTCAGTATACATAATGGCAAAATGTGCATCATTCAGTGTTGCCGACACTCTGGTAGTATCTAGATTCTATGTGTTGTTGAGACGATGCTTTCTGATAGAAATATTATGTATGAAAGACACTCATTAGAAGTTGACTGAGGATATAGTCGACACAGTTCTGGATAACAGCTTTTCTATCACACTGTTACAGTCAAATAACCGTTGCAAAGTAGCACCATGTATTGTTTCAACTTTGTCACTGTCATATATGTTTCAGGTACAAACCAAACAGGTGCCCCTCAGCAGATAGACGTAGATTTCGAGTATGTAGTTGTATTTCTTTTGAGACATAACCGTATGTAAATAGTTGATCAACTCACTGTCAAATTATGCAAGAGCGTTAAACCAGATAGTGAGTGGGTTCGGTTTTACATCGCCTTTCGACTTAACACCAGCAATAATAGCTTTCACATCATGGCTACCACCCACCTGTCTGTCATATGGCGGTTTGAGCAAATCGTTAATGCAGCTTCGAATACTCCATGCTACTGTTGTGTTTGCATAAAATCTATATTTGAAGTGAAGTGTAATAGCCGGTGTCATAACAGTCTATCTTGTCCCAACAAATGAATTTTATCAGCATATACTCTGTACTCGCATTATAAACATAATTTCATTAAAGGCAGGCAGGGGTTTAATGAAATCACTGAGCCAATATTTCAGTAATTTCATGAAATCCCTTGAAACTATAGGTATTATTTGAAATCCATGTGGATCACGGTAGTTTGACGAAATCACTGACTCCTTTAGGGATTACGTGAAATCCCTGGTTTCACACACTCTCTGTAACATATATGCTATTACAGAAGTATGGGATGTTTTACTATTGGGTAATGTATATAATGGATTAGGACAACTATTCCATTCACAACGTGTTATGAATTTCGTGCCAACACGTCAAGCAGGTAAAGACGTTGATTTCTACGTAACCTATGAGCAACCTGCTGCACAGGAGTCCTCGGGGAGTCGTGCCCAGTGAGCAACTTATTGCACACGAGTCCTCGACGTGTCGTACCCAGTGAGCACCCTGTTCCAGATGAGTCCTCTGCGTGTCGTATTCAGTGAGCACCCTGTTGCACACGAGTCCTCAGCGTGTCGTACCCAGGGGAGGACCCTTCTGCACAGGAGTCCTCTGCGTGTCGTACCCAGTGAGCACCCTGTTACACGCTAATCCTCTGCGTGTCGTACTCAGGGGAGGACCCTGTTGCACACGAGTCATCGGCGTGTCTTACGAAGTGAGCACCTTGTTGCACACGAGTCCTCGGCGATTCGTACGTAGGGGAGGACCCTGTCGCACCCGAGTCCTCGGCGTGTCATACCCAGTGAGCACCCTGTTGCACACGAGTCCTCGGCGTGTCGTACCTAGTGAGCACCCTGTTGCACATGAGTCCTCTGCGTGTCTTACCCAGTGAGCAACCTGTTACACGCGAGTCCTCTGCGTTTCGTACCCAAGGGAGGACCCTGTTGCACAGGAGTCCTCGGCGAGTCGTACTCAATGAGCACCCTGTTGCAGACGAGTCCTCGGCGAGTCGTACCCAGGGGATGACCCTGTTGCACACGAGTCTTCGGTAATTCATACCCAGTGAGCACGCTATTGCACACGAGTCCTCTGCGTGTCGTACCCAGTGAGCTCCCTGTTGCACAGGAATCCTCTCCGAGTCGTACCCAGTGAGCACCCTGTTGCACACGTGTCCTCGGCGTGTCGTACCAAGTGAACACCCTGTTGCACACGTGTCCTCGGTGTGTCGTACCCAGGGGAGGACCCTGTTGCACACGAGTCCTCGGCGTGTCGTACACAGTGAGGACCCTGTTGCACAGGATTCCTCGGCGTGTCGTACCCATGGGAGGACCCTTTGCACACGAGTCCTCTGCGTGTCGTACCAAGGGGACGATCCTGTTTCACATTAGTCCTCGGCGTGTCGTACCCAGTGAACACCCTGTTGCACAGTAGTCCTCGGCGTGTTGTACCCAGTGAGCACCCTGTTACATGCGAGTCCTCTGCGTTACGTACACAGCGGAGCACCCTGTTGCACAGAAGTCCTCGTCGAGTCGTACCTATGGGAGGACCCTGTTGAACAAGAGTCCTCGGCGTGTCGTACCCAGGGGAGGAGCCTGTTGAGCAGGAGTCCTCTGCGTGTAGTGCCCAGTGAGCACCCTGTTGCACACGAGTCCTCGGCGTGTCGTACCTAGGGGAGAAACCTGTTGCACAGGAGTCCTCTGCTTGTTGACCCAGTGAGCACCCGGTTGCACACGAGGCCTCGGCGTGTCGTTCCCAGAGGAGGAGCCTCTTGCACAGGATTCCTCGGCGTGTCATACCAAGTGAGCACCCTGTTGCACACAAATCCTCTGCGAGGCGTACCCAGTGAGCACCCTGTTGCACAGGAGTCCTCGGCGAGTCGTACGCAGGTGAGGACCCTGTTGCACAGGAGGACACTGTTGCACAGGAGTCCTCGGCGTGTCGTACCCAGTGAGGACACTGTTGCACAGGAGTCCTAGGCGAGTGGTACCCAGGTGAGGACCGTATTGCCATACCCACTAAGCACCCAGTTGCACAGGATTCTTCGGCGTGTCGTATGCAGGGGAGGACCCTTTTGCACAGTAGTCCTCGGCGTGTCGTACCCAGTGAGCACCCTTTTGCACAGTAGTCCTCGGCGTGTCGTACCCAGTGAGCACCCTGTTGCACAGGAGTCCTTGGAATGTCGTGCCCAGTGAGCACCCTGTTGCACACTAATCCTCGGCGTTTCGTACCCAGGGGAGGACCCTGTTGCACACGAGTTCTCGGCGTGTCGTACCCAGTGAGCACCCTGTTGCACACTAATCCTCGGCGTATCGTACCCAGTGAGCACCCTGTTGCACACTAATCCTCGGCGTATCGTACCCAGGGGAGGACCCTGTTGCACAGGAGTCCTCGGCGTGTCGTACCCAGTGAGCACCCCGTTGCACAGAAGTCCTCGGCGTGTCGTACCCAGTGAGCACCCTGTTGCACGCTAATCCTCTGCATGTCGTACCCAGGGGAGTACCCTGTTGTACAGGAGTCCTCGGCGTGTCGTACCCAGTGAGCACCCTGTGAGCACCCTGTGGCACAGGAGTCCTCGTACCCTGAGGAGGACCCTGTTGCACAGAAGTCCTCTGCGTGTCGTACCCAGGGGAGAAACCTGTTGCACAGGAGTCCTCGGCGTGTCGTACCCAGTGAGCACCCTGTTACACGCTAATCCTCTGCGTGTCGTACCCAGGGGAGGACCCTGTTGTACAGGAGTCCTCGGCGTGTCGTACCCAGTGAGCACCCTGTGAGCACCCTGTGGCACAGGAGTCCTCGTACCCTGAGGAGGACCCTGTTGCACAGAAGTCCTCTGCGTGTCGTACCCAGGGGAGAAACCTGTTGCACAGGAGTCCTCTGCGTGTCGTACCCAGTGAGCACCCTGTTACATGCGAGTCCTCTGCGTTACGTACACAGCGGAGCACCCTGTTGCACAGAAGTCCTCGTCGAGTCGTACCTATGGGAGGACCCTGTTGAACAAGAGTCCTCGGCGTGTCGTACCCAGGGGAGGAGCCTGTTGAGCAGGAGTCCTCTGCGTGTAGTGCCCAGTGAGCACCCTGTTGCACACGAGTCCTCGGCGTGTCGTACCTAGGGGAGAAACCTGTTGCACAGGAGTCCTCTGCTTGTTGACCCAGTGAGCACCCGGTTGCACACGAGGCCTCGGCGTGTCGTTCCCAGAGGAGGAGCCTCTTGCACAGGATTCCTCGGCGTGTCATACCAAGTGAGCACCCTGTTGCACACAAATCCTCTGCGAGGCGTACCCAGTGAGCACCCTGTTGCACAGGAGTCCTCGGCGAGTCGTACGCAGGTGAGGACCCTGTTGCACAGGAGGACACTGTTGCACAGGAGTCCTCGGCGTGTCGTACCCAGTGAGGACACTGTTGCACAGGAGTCCTAGGCGAGTGGTACCCAGGTGAGGACCGTATTGCCATACCCACTAAGCACCCAGTTGCACAGGATTCTTCGGCGTGTCGTATGCAGGGGAGGACCCTTTTGCACAGTAGTCCTCGGCGTGTCGTACCCAGTGAGCACCCTGTTGCACAGAAGTCCTTGGAATGTCGTGCCCAGTGAGCACCCTGTTGCACACTAATCCTCGGCGTTTCGTACCCAGGGGAGGACCCTGTTGCACACGAGTTCTCGGCGTGTCGTACCCAGTGAGCACCCTGTTGCACACACTAATCCTCGGCGTATCGTACCCAGTGAGCACCCTGTTGCACACTAATCCCTCGGCGTATCGTACCCAGGGAGGACCCTGTTGCACAGGAGTCCTCGGCGTGTCGTACCCAGTGAGCACCCTGTTGCACAGAAGTCCTCGGCGTGTCGTACCCAGTGAGCACCCTGGTACACGCCAATCCTCTGCGTGTCGTACCCCAGGGAGGACCCTGTTGTACAGGAGTCCTCGGCGTGTCGTACCCAGTGAGCACCCTGTGAGCACCCTGTGGCACAGGAGTCCTCGTACCCTGAGGAGGACCCTGTTGCACAGAAGTCCTCTGCGTGTCGTACCCAGGGGAGAAACCTGTTGCACAGGAGTCCTCTGCGTGTCGTACCCAGTTAGCACCCTGTTGCACAGGAAGTCCTCTGCGTCTCGTACCCAGGGGAGGAGCCTGTTTCACAGGAGTCCCTCTGCGTGTCGTACCCAGGGGAGGACCCTGTTGCACAGGAGGAGTGAGCACCTGTTGCACAGGAGTCCTCGGCGTGTCGTACCCAGTGAGGACACTGTTGCACAGGAGTCCTAGGCGAGTGGTACCCAGGTGAGGACCGTATTGCCATACCCACTAAGCACCCAGTTGCACAGGATTCTTCGGCGTGTCGTATGCAGGGGAGGACCCTTTTGCACAGTAGTCCTCGGCGTGTCGTACCCAGTGAGCACCCTGTTGCACAGAAGTCCTTGGAATGTCGTGCCCAGTGAGCACCCTGTTGCACACTAATCCTCGGCGTTTCGTACCCAGGGGAGGACCCTGTTGCACACGAGTTCTCGGCGTGTCGTACCCAGTGAGCACCCTGTTGCACACTAATCCTCGGCGTATCGTACCCAGTGAGCACCCTGTTGCACACTAATCCTCGGCGTATCGTACCCAGGGGAGGACCCTGTTGCACAGGAGTCCTCGGCGTGTCGTACCCAGTGAGCACCCCGTTGCACAGAAGTCCTCGGCGTGTCGTACCCAGTGAGCACCCTGTTACACGCTAATCCTCTGCGTGTCGTACCCAGGGGAGGACCCTGTTGTA